TGAGTAGCTGCCTAAGGGTAGAGGAGATATAAATATTCTAAAATTGACTGTAGTAATTGTTGTACAACTCTGTAAATCTAAAACCCACTAAATATACATTTTAACTGGGTATATAGTATGGTATGTGAGCTAGACTTCAATAAAGTAAATTATTTATTTATTTACCCAAGACAGTCTTCCTCACTATAACCTACAACTCCTAAGCTCAAGAGATCCTCTTCCCTCAGCCTCCCAAGCAGCTAAGGCTACAGGCCTGTGCTGATATGCCCAGCTAATTCTTTAATTTTTTGTAAGACAAGGGCTTACTATGTTGTCTGTGGAATTTCTGGCCACAAGCAATCATGTCACCTCAGCTTCCCATAAAGTTATTTTACTTTTTAAAAATCTATTCTTCTTGTGGAAATTTACAACAGTTTCAATTTTTTTGTAATTTTTAAAATCACTACTGTTGTTGCAGTTACATTCCATTTTAAGATTTAACTATTTGCATCTTCTGGGTTTTTTGTTTTTTTTCTTTAAGAGAGAGAGTCTTACTTTGTTGCCCTCAGTATGAGTGCTGTGGCATCACAGCTCACAGCAACCTCCAGCTCTTGCCTCAAGTAGCTGGGACTACAGGTGCCCACCACAATGCCCAACTATATTGTTGTTGCTGCTGCAGTTTGGCTGGGGCCGGGTTTGAACTCACTACCCTTGGCATATGGGGCCAGTGCCCTACTCACTGAGCCACAGGTGCTGCCCTTGGGGTTTTCTGATGAATAGAATTGACTGGAAAAATCAGCTTTGATTTGATTGATCATTATATTATTATTTTTATTTTTTCCTCTTTCTTCCTTATTATTTATTCTTTATTATTTCCTTTTTGTTTAGTTTTTTTGAGTAGACCCTCCACTACAACCAAAAAAAAAAAAAAAAAACAAAAAAGATTTCAATTGGTTACTTTGGTTACTTCACATATCTATATATAGGGTGGCCAAGAAGTTCATGTGAAATTTAAATAGTGTATAAAAAATAACTATTAAAAAAAGTTGTAACTATTTAAATTTATGAACATTTATTATTTCTTAAATAACTGCTCTTGTTAAATTATAATGAAATATGCTCTTAATGTTAAAAAGGGAATATATATATTTTAAGCTAAGACACTTTTATTTATTTATTTATTTATTTATTTTTTTGAGACAAAGCCTCAAGCTGAGCCCCTAGATAGAGTGCCCTGGCTTCACTGCTCACAGCAACCTCCAACTCCTGGGCTGAAGCGAGTCTCCTGCCTCAGCCTCCCAAGTAGCTGGGACCCCAGGCGCTCACCACAACGCCTGCCCATTTTTTGGTTGCAGCCGTCATTGTTGTTTGGCGGGCCCGGGCTGGATTCGAACCCACCACCTTAGGTGTATGTGGCTGGCACCTTAGCCACTTGAGCCACAGGCGCCGAGCCTAAGCTAAGACACTTTTAAGTAAAATATTCTTTGAAAAGTTCTCCACCAGAAAGTTCTCATTGGATAACAAAAAAAAATTACTACTTCTTAAGAGCTGTCTTGGCTGCTATTCTGCCAAATGCTATCCCACTGTGCCCCCCTGTATCAAGGTGTGGAAAGAAAAAGTTTTATTATCCCCATTTTAGAATTATAGAAACTGAAGCACAATAAAGTTCTTTTTAAAATATTTTCTCCCCAACTTCTTTTAATGTCAAAGCCATAGAAAAGTTCAGAGAAATAATAAATGTTCATAAATTTAAATTTATACCCATATACCTTTCACCTAGATTAAAAATTGTTAACACGTAACATTTTCATTTTAACCCCCTCTCTCTCTATATATATATGCATACACACACACACCCAAATATCCACACACTTCCTTTTTAAACCCATTCTTAAATCTATCATAATACTTAAATATTTTGGCATATTTCTTAAAAAAAACAAAAGCATTATCAGTATAACCACCATATCATTATCACACCAAAGAAACTATGAGATTGAACAGAATCTTACATAGACATGCAGCTGCAGATTCAAAACTAGTATTTCAGACATCTGACCAAATGTTCTTTATTACAGCTTATCTAATTGGTCCTCTGGAAATTACTGAGAAGCAATAATCTGTCAAAAACCTTCCTTCAATAACCTTGAAATTAGATTTATCATTTTATCTGGTAAGTATTCATAAAGACAAGATTTCTGAAATTAAGCAATACAATTTTCTAAGATAGTCAAACTTCTAAATCAAGCATACTGAATTTCTAGTTTATTTTCTAACACTATATAGAAGTCTTAAAGTAAAGCACTCTAATTAAAACACTCTCAAAGCTATACTCTCTTCACTATGTGCCATGAGAGAAATTAATGCTATGCAGTATACACAAAAACCTGTAAAATTTTACCCTTACTCTCAAAGAACATATTAACCTAGTTTAAGAGTTTTTATATTAAAAATAAAACAATAGAGGCGGCACCTGTGGCTCAAAGGAGTAGGGTGCTGCCCCATATACTGCAGGTGGCGGATTCAAACCTGGCCCTAGTCAAAAACTGCAATAAAATAAAATAAAATAAAATAAAATAAAATAGCAATACAACCTAAAGCTAACATTTAAAGGCATTTAAACCGTGTCATATAGATAACTCTAATAACAGAATGTTTAAGGTCAATCTATAGCCAAATACTAGCTAATATGGGTCCTGACTATGCAAGGCACTGTAGGAAGTATATTCTGTGAATTAGTACAATTTACAGAAATCCCACTTTTCCACTGAGAAAATAGGTAACAAAGATGCTAACATAACAAAAGGACTGACAGAAGGGATGAGACATGCCTCAACTTTGGAGTGCAAAAAAGCAGAATGGAGAGAAAGCCATTTAATGATAATGGAAAAGCACAAACCAAGCATGACTATGACAACTATCCAAGTAAGACCAAACAAAGTTTCAAACCGAAGAAATTAGGCTGGATAAACAGGACAGAATTTGATTATGAAAGAGGCCTTAAGCACCTAGCATTTAGTGAAAATTTTATAGAACTGTTACAACAGAGCACCATTACGGGCTCTATGTACTACAAATGCCCTTTTAGAAATAATAACCTGGTAATAATGAAGAATAAGTAAAAGAGAAATGAAAAGCTAGAAACTCTAACACTCCTATAAAAGCTATGAATTAGTTTCAAAGTAGGGCTGTGTACATTGGATACTTTTTCTTCCATTCTTGAGATACTTTGCTAAGAAGAATATTTTCTAATTCCATCCATATAAACATGAAGGAGGTAAAGTCTCCATCTTTCTTTAGGGCTGCATAGTATTCCATGGTGTCCATATATCACAATTTATTCATCCATTCGTGGGTCGATAGGCATTTGGGCTTCTTCCATAACCTAGCAATTATGAATTGGGCTGCAATAAACATTCTGATACAAATATCTTTGTTATAATTCAATTTTTGGTCTTCTGGATATATACTTAATAAAGGAATGGCAGGTCTATTTTTAGTTTTCTCAGTGTTCTCCAGATGTCTTTCCAAAACGAACGAATTAATTTGCATTCCCACCAGCATTGTAGAAGTGTTCCCTTTTCTCCACATCCACGTCACATCTCTGGTTTTGGGATTTTGTGATATGGGCTAATCTTACTGGGGTTAGGTGGTACCTCAAAGTAGTTTTGATTTGCATTTCTCTGATGATTAAGGATGGAGAGCATTTTTTCATATATCTGTAGGCCATGTGCCTGTCTTCTTTAGAGAAATTTCTATTCAAGTCCCTTGCCGACCCTGAGATGAGATTGCTTGTTTTTTCTTGCTAATATGTTTTAGTTCTCTGTGGATTCTGGTTATTAAACCTTTGTCGGAGACATAACTAGCAAATATCTTCTCCTATTCTGAGGGCTGTCTACCCACTTTAGAATATAGGAAGGGGGTGGGAGGGGGAGGTGAGGGGGTTGGATGGGGAGAGGGTGGGTGATTGGTGGGGTTATCTCTATGGTTTATCTTACAAGGGTACAAGTGAATCTTTCTAACAGCAGAGTATGAATGTTTTAACTCAATTACTATGAAAATGACATGAAGGTTATGTTAACCAGTTTAATGAGTATTTCAAAATGTATATGAAAACAGTACACTGTACCCCATGATTGCATTAATGTACACAGTTATGCTGTAAGAAATAAAAAAAAAAAAAGAAGAAAAGAAACGCTAACGCTGACATGCCAACTCATAAATTATCTGGTACCTAAGGTATCAGAGACCTCAAACTGAACCAATTCTGCCACACTTTCCAAAGCACATCATAAGCCCTTTCGCTGAAAACAAGGAAGTGACAAACATGATTGCAAATACCCAAAGTTATTTTTCAAATATACTTTCAGTGAAGTTAAAAAGTACATTGAAAATCATGTCATTAAGAAGTGCTAGTCAATTAATATAAAACTATTCTTGCTGCTACATACTAGTGTACCAAAATCTGGCACATATATACATTTTGCAGTACAAGTATTTATTTAACTAACAGCAACATCATGAAGAAATTTATAAACAAATTCAACATGTCTCTATAATGTTTTAGAATTATTACACTATCAAAAGCCAGTCAATACATAATTTTTTTAAAAAGCAGCTATTATGTAAATAATCCTTTAAAATTTATCATACTTTTTATTCATTTATCCATTAATAGCTCTATATTTATTGTCCATACAATAATTTCCATAATCCTTATCAACATACAAAAGTCCTCCCAAACAACTTCCTTTTTTTGGTAATTAAACTCCTTCTAAAGAGAAGAAATTTAGAAAAAGATCTCAAGTCTGTCAGAACTAGATTACTTACCAGCAACTTGAGTTATCCTATTGGGTCTTTTCCCTCACAGATCCACCTCTCTTGCCCTTCTCTCCAGCATGAGACTCTTCCTGACGGGCATCCACTGGAACTGAGGGGGCATGCAGTACACACGTATATGTAAGAAAGTCGGGGGAGGGGGTTGAGAGATGCTAGAGACATGCTTCAGTGCACTTGCTTACCTTCCTGAAATTGGACATTGCAACGGTTCCTTGGTCCTCGAGGCATTCACAATAACTTCAAAGAATGTGGATCTGTGGAGATTACCCAATAGGAGAACTCCAGTTACTGGTAAGTGATCCAGCTTTTTCTTCTCTATCAGAATAAGAAGATTATTTAATTTTATTTGAGATTATTATTTGAAATTACATGTAGAACCACAGGAGAAAGGGTCATAAATTCACCAAATAACTATACATGTATCCACCAAAGTAAATATGGAAACAATTTGCTAACCATATTCATATATCAGCAGAAACTTCTGACATTATCAGAAATACAAAGGAAAGAAAATTATTTATATAGTTTCATTTTAAATGACTACTATAATGGCAGTTATATTTTAATATACAAAAATGTCAGCTATAAGACAACTATTCCATTTCAGTGAAACATCACTATTATGTTTTAATATTGGCACAAGATTAGTTGATCAAAATCTGCCATATTTTTTTTTAAAAGGAGGTCTCTGTTACTTAGGCTGGATTCAAACTCCTGGACCTAAGCCATTCTCCCATCTCAGCCTCCTGAGTAGCTGGGACACATGCCCTGGGTGCCTTGCTTCTGCTACATCTTATCTAGCCATTATCACTAATATTCACTTAACTTTAGTATAGAAGCCACCACTGTAGACTAACACTCTATTCAAAATCAGATAAAAAGCATTCACTACAATTCCAATTTATCACTCAATAAGTCTTTAAAATAAATATTTATCAGCTACTAACAAACCACGCACACATACACAAACTATGCCACCACTAGTAAATAATAAAGCTGATTTTAATTTAAATACTATACAAAAGAAAGTAGTATAGATTATACAAATTTTTTTTTTTTTTTTTTGAGACAGCCTCAAGCTGTCACCCTGGGTAGAGTGCCATGGCATCACAGCTCACAGCAACCTCCAACTCCTGGGCTCAAGCTATTCTCCTGCCTCTGCCTCCCAAATAGTAACTATAGGTGCCTGCCACAACGCCTGGCTATTTTTTGGTTGCAGCCATCACTGTTGTTTGGTGGGACCAGGCTGGATTTGAACCGCCAGCTCGGGTGTATGTGGCTGGCGCCTTAGCTGCTTGACCCATAGGCGCCGAGCCAATTATATAAATTTTTAATGAGCCTTTAAAATAACTACCTAATAATGGAACTGGCATTTTAAAAAAATACTATTTCTAATCCCAAGAAAGCAAGCCATTAACAGAATTTTATCCTCAAGCTCACATGAAGATATTCTATTACTTTTAAGCCAATACATATTAAGCAAAACATATTAATCATGTTCATTTTAATGTGTCCCAGATACAGTATGTTTCAATACCCCTTATCATGCCATTAATTAATCACCTATACCTTCAAAACACTTGTGGTTTTATCATACTTCATTCTATGGAAACAAAGAAAGTATAAAGCTTTTCCTTTGTTTTAAGAGTCAACAGGATAAAATTATCTATAAAACCATTATTCTACAAAAACAAATTAAAATGTAATTCTAATGAAAATCTAGACTTTAATCTTATTAAGGATATAATATTTGTACTTAGTAAAGGCTGACAGAACATCTGTCAAGATTGTTGCTAGATTCCTATTTCATTTTAAGATACAAATAGCCTTGGGTAAATTACATTTATTTTTGTGTTAAGTTTGAGTTTTAAACTATAATAATAATAAATGCATTAGTTTTTAAATGACCCATTCACACAGGGGTACTACACAGAGCTCCATTTCTAACTGTAATACAGAGATAAATATCAAAAAAGGGTCATCTAATCACTTCTCGGCCTTTTGGACAAAGATCAAGTGTAAAAAAAAGGTCATCTAGTTAACTTCTCTAATTTATTATATTCTTACTTAACTTCTAGTCACTGAAGAATAAGTATAAGGCACAAAGGTCTTATGTGTTTATAATGATATACATGAGCAGTAGTCCAATAATTTTACCCTAATGGCATAAGTATAAAAGATGTTATTAAGAACTAAATGATTATTTCCAATTTTATGTATAACAAATGCAATCTCAACTTAGTCTTGATCTTATAAACCTAAAATACAGTCAATTAAGATATCTTGAAAATATTTTAATATAACCAAAGGTTCACCTAGAAACTGGCATTGAAAGCTGCATTTTTTTGTTATCATTCCATAAACTCAACAAAAATATATTTTATCAGAACAACTTAGAAAAGAAATTCCAGCAATTAGGATGTTCTCTTCAAAAGTAAAGTTCTAATAATTACAATGCTCATCCATAAAAAGTCACTCCATCATCAAGAACTGCATCAAATACTTCACTAATGAAATGTAACTCTATAAAATCAAGCTCAACTTAAAAAAAAACTGCTTAGAATACAAGGTGGTTGTTAATTTTCACTTTGACTACTACTCCCTTGTTTGAACATATTTGGGCTAAAAGCAACTTAAATTAAAACTGGTTTTGATGATTCCAGATAAATTATTTGCTACTTTTCAATTAATATTTAAAATTCTAATGTCAGATATCATAGTTGTAGAAATTTTTTCTTCATGGCAAATTCTGGATTTGGAATCTTGTTAATAGTGTAATAAATTTTAAAATTACATATTTATTCATACATATTTGGGCCATTAGTAATCCATATATAAAATATTATACATATATGTATTATGTGCATATATGAAACATAAATATTCATACACAGACAGATACCCAATTGAGAGGAACCTCAATTAACCAAACTAAGGTCAAAAGTTAATTATCAACTTAGGTATTAAGTAATCCCATATAGAAACTGTCTTCTTTTTTGTTCCTTAAACAGCTCATGAGATAGTCTAGGTAATGTATAGAATCTCGAATTATCTGGATTTTCCTGGCTTGAACCACCATATCACTATCTTCCAAAGGGAGAAAGCTTTACAGGGCACAGTAGTTAGAAACAGAAACTGGTATTTCATCTTTTTATTTTGTTGACACACTTGACAAAAATTTATTGAGTTTACCATGCCTTAACCACCTTCTCAGTCCCATGGTACAACTACACTTCCCGCAGGGTCCCCAAATTATAAATACCATCTTATTTCCTAATCAAAATTTTTTTCACTCAGTTTTATCCACTACTTCCCCAACACCACCCACAGAAAAACACAACAGTTCCATTTTTTTTGTTAACCCAGATTAGTCTACAATTAAGGTAGAAAAAACTACACTAATCTATAAAATCGGGTAATCTCAGAACCTACTTCAGTGGGTAGTTGTAAGGATTAAATAAAGATTAAGTAAAGACTTGGAAACAACACTCAGAGTCTAGCCACAAATCAAACTATTAACATAATCACCCAGAAAGGGATTATTTTCAAATGACTTCATACATCTTTAGAATTTGATCTAAGGGCTCGGCGTCTGTAGCTCAAGTGGCTAAGGCACCAGCAACATACACCTAATGTGGCGGGTTCAAATCCAGCCTGGGCCCGCCAAACAACAATGACGGCTGCAACCAAAAAATAGCCAGGCATTATGGCTGGCGCCTGTGATCCCAGCTACTTGGGAGGCTGAAGCAGGACACTCGCTTAAGCCCAGGAGTTGGAGGTTGCTATGAGCTGTGATGCCATGGCACTCTGCCTAGGGGGACAGCTTGAGGCTCTGTCTCAAAAAAAAAAAAGAACAATAAAGTAAATTCTAAACTTCACTCAGATTTATATTTGTAAGATTACTTTGAAACTATATTATTCATATTAAAGATAAAGTAGGTAAGTAACTTAAGCTAATGACAGTAGGAATCACGGTTTGCAGCAGCAAAGAGCTACAAGAAAACACTAATGTTAGAATTGAATTGCAATACAACTACACTTATGATTTTTAAAAAATACAGATGATTTGGAAACAGTTAATGAAATATGCTAGATAACATTTACTAAGTAAACCACTGTCATTACCACACCAATATATAAATTGAATCTGTTAATACTATAAGCCTTATATTTTATTTACGTTAGTAAAGAAAACTACTCATACTTCATAAATTGTCAGAATATTACACAAATCATTTGCCATGTTCCAATGCCTGATTTTTATAGCTTTAATCTTAGAAATCCAACTGCTCATAAATTCTAAAATGAAAATATGAGAAAAACAGTATATATTCATGTTCTTAAGTGACATTTGATGGTCAACACACTAATATCCAAATGGTTTGAAAACTGAAGCTGAAGGATGCTAAGCAGGTAAGCTCTAGTTCCTTAAAACCCCTGCCCTATCCAGAACAACTTCCCTTTTACCTATTTAACATTTGGGATTTCCCCCATAAACTTCCCTTTCCACAACAACAATAAAAAGGTTTACATTTTAAAGGATAGTGTGGTGAGCAAACTCTAAAATGGTCTGTGATGATCCTGCCTCCTGATTTCCAGGCACTTGTATCATCTCCTTCCCCTGAGTACAGGCTCAGTTTAGTGACTCAGTTCGAAGGCAGAAGTAATGGGATAGCACTTCCAAAGGTAGGTTATAAAAAGATTGCAGCTTCCATTTGGGGGGCTTTCTGTCATTGTCTCTGAAATGCCTTGCTTTGGGGCAAGCAAGCTGCCATGTGCTGAGCAGCCCTATAGAGAAGTCTCAGGAACAAGAAACTGATGTCACTGAACAGCAGCCAGAGGCCTGAAGCCTGACAATAGCCACATCACTAACTCAGAAGCAGGTGTTCTACAGCCTGCTGACAACCTATCACTGAACTCCCAGTGACTCCTTCCTCAGTTAAGCCATAACATCACTGCAGCTCAAACTGACACTTTGCAGGCTTGTAAATGAAAAGAAAAAGAATTATGTTTTAATCTGACCGGATTTTGAAACCCTGCATTAGTTTTCAAATCAGTTCTTAATAACTATCTCTAAAACTCAAGTACTTATTTTCTTTGTGTAACTGATTTTATAAAACAATGGCAAATTTCTCCAACATAATGAATTTCAATCAATAGTAATAGCTGTAAAACAAGTGGAGAGTGTCAATGTCTCACTTGCCTTCCTCTGAAGAGAATGCTATTCCTTTTTTATTTTGAATTAATAAATAAA